CTGCGTTTTTTAGGCCAAAAGGCATGACCTTGTAACAGTACAATCCTCTAGGCGTTATAAAGGATGTGACCTCCTGGTCAGGCTCATACATAGCGATCTGATGGTAACCTCTATACACATCAAGGAAACTAAGTCGATTATGGCCTGCCGTTAGGTCTACTAGTTGGTCTATCCGTGGTAAGAGAAAGCTATCCTTTGGGCATGCCTTGTTGACTGTTTTGTAGTCCATGCAGACACGCCATTTTCTATTTTTCTTTGGCACCACCACTGTATTGGATATCCACTTGGGATAGTGCACTTCTCTGATAGCTCCTGTCTCCAGTAAGTTTTCCACTTCCTCCGCCACTATCTCGGCATGGTGGAGTGCCGATCTGCAAGTGCGCTATATGATTGGTCTGGCAGTTGGGTGGACGTTCAATTGGTGATAGATGAAGTTTGGGTCAATGCCTGGCATATCATACGGCGTCTAGGCGAACACTTCGATGTTAGAGGTCAAGGATTCCATGACCTCTAATCTCTCAGTGCTGGACATAAATGAGCCGAGCAAAAAGAACTTTTTTGGGTTCTTTTCATTTATCTTTACCTGTACCAAGTCTTCCACTGCATTCTGTTCAGCGGCTTTGCCAACATCCGCGAACAACTCATTGCTCACAAGTTTTTCCACCATCTGTACATACCCCTTGGCAGCGCGGCTGCCATTTACTGTGACGAAGCATTGTTTGGACATAATTTGGTCCCCAAAGACCTCTTCAATTACTCCAGCTTCGTTGGAGAACCGCATTACTTGATGGTAGGTTGATGCTACCGATCGTATAGCGTGTAACCAAGTCCTTCCTAAGATTATGTTGTAAGTGGAAGGGGCTTTCAATACCCAGAATTCCACCTGTTTCGTCATGCTTCCTGCTCTGACTCTGAGGATTATCTTGCCAACTGGCCACTCTGGCATTGAGTTGAATCCGATCAGGGAGATATGGCGGGCGCCAAGTCTTTATCCTCCAGTTTCAGTTGTTTGAAGGTTTCATAATACATTATCTCACATGAGCTCCCTTGGTCAATCAAAATCCGTTTGACTTCGAAATCCTTGATACGGAGAGTGACAACTAGTGCATCGTTGTGAGGGCAATATATCCTTGCCAAGTCTCTGTCTGAAAAAGATATGACGTTCGTGGCCTCTGTTCTCCTATTTTTTATGACAGGTTGTGTACTTAATACCTCCCTTAAGTGCTTAGCCTTTTTGATCATGCCCCTGAGCTCACATACCCGCTCAGGTTTGAATACCCCATGTATCACGTTAATTACGCCGTGAGGTGGGGCGTCGACCGGCATTCTGTTTGGGTGGTTATGGTTTTGGGGGGCTAGTTGTGTCCCTTTTTCTATGTACTGGTCCAGATGTCCAGCCGCCATTAACTCCTCCAATTGTCGCCTCAATGGTGTGTAATTTTCAGTGCGGTGCCTCTTTTCATCATGAAAGGTGCATCGGGACCTCTCATTATAGTCTTTTTGTGCCTCTCCCAATTTTGCTGGCCATTTAACGAAAGGTTCGTCACGTATTTCGCTGAGAATTCGGTAGATTGATTTTTTGAATACCGTGGTGATGGCAGTGCGGACTCTTAACCACCTTTTGTCTGAGTCCTCTCTGTTGGCCCGCCTGCCTCGCCTATTCTTGCTGGGGCGTTCTACCGTATTGATTTTTGTCGTAGTCTTTTTATCTGGTATCGCTGCTGTGCCAGATTTTGTTTTAGTACGGGCGCCATCCTCCTCCACCCGAATATGCTTGTGCACTTACTCCATCAAGGCCTCCATCGTGAGGGGTGGCGCTATAGTTATTAAATTCCTCAACTTGTTTCTGACTGGTAGCCCCCTTTTATACTACGCGATGGCAAGATTGGTGGGGCAATCTCCTATCTGGTTAAAGGTCTCCAAGTAACGACTGTTATAGGATCTTAGTGTCTCTTTGTCGCCCATGTCAATGGAGAGTAGCTGATTGATCGCCATTTGTGTTTTGGTGTTCGTTCTGAACCTAGTCACGAACGTCTCCACCAATTGCGCCCAGGAGGCGATGCTACCTTCTGGTAGCCTTTCGAACTAGGTTAAACCTAGGTCACCAAGGCTGGATGGGAATAGGATGCACATCAAAGCCTCGTTCCGTCGGTATACTGCCATAACCTAGCGAAAGTGGCTTAGGTGCATGTAGGGATCCGTCTTCCCGTTGTAAGTCGTAAACTTGGGCTAGAGGAAGCTTGAAGGTAATGGCGCGTTCTCAATTGTCGGAACGAACGGTTGAGCTATGTAACCTTGCTAATGCTTTGTCCGTTGGTTCATAAGCAAGACGCGGTATTGGCATTCCTACCTCAACGCTTCCGTGCGTCCAAGGAGCCAACCGTTGAAAGGCTGAAACTCTGCGCGGGTCGCGTGCCCTGACATTCTCTTTCCATCATGCCCTTTCTTCAAGCATAGTTCGCAAATCAGACGATCTAGGCAACTCTGTCTGCCTGGATGACGTTTGGTGTGTACGCGAGGGCCGATAGGTGCTTCCTTCAGTATATGACCTCTCAGTTCTCATTCTTTCAGACTTGAAGTAACGAGTCCTGGACGTCCTTGGTTGAGTGTCGCTTGTTCTAAGGCTCCTACTCTCTACTTGTGATGGCGTGGTGTGCCTACGACGACCTTCCGAGTGGCGATGGGGTGTACTGTCTTTACGCCTCTCTCCTGTCGCCACCCCTTTTCCTTTTATTTGGCGCTTCATCAACTCCATGTCCGCCGCCATCCTTCGTATCAACTCATCTTGTTCCTTCACGCGATCCTCCAGAACCTGAGGGTCAATCCTCCGTCTCTGCCTTTCGGGGCTTTGAGAGTGACGGGGGCTGTTACCCCATCTTCCCCTTGCATCCCTCCGAGGGTTCTGTCGCTGGCGCTCTAAATCTGCCATGGGAGGGATAGAAGGCAAACCTTCGCGCCTCCCACCCCCCTCTAGGGTTTGTCCGTCGATAGCGGACTGCAGCAAGTATTCATTGTGCGCCATTGATCTCAACTAGAGAGGAAAGCTTGATCAAGAGGTTTTGTTCTTTGTGGAATTCCCACAGATGGCGCCAATTGTACGAGCACGAAATAATTCTTCTCGTATGATCCTGTTGATCAAGCTTGCACTCCTCGAAACGTCGTCGCTTTGCCACCTGAAAACACAAACGTGAGCTAATCGGCAGGTGTATGCCGGAAACCCCTCTGATGCCTAAGTCAGCACAATAGACAACAGACACAAAAGCTCTGTGAATTCAGGAATCAAAGTTGTGTTACCTTTCTATAGGTGATGTTATGAGCTTTTATAGATTCCGCGTGGCACAATCCTAGTAGGACTCTTATTCCTCCATGTAGAGTACTTTTAGGAATCACACTCTTGAAAGATAATGCTTATCCTTCAATACTCTCCTCACTGCTTAAACCAAGTGAGATGGTTATACCTTGGTAGTACGACAATGTAACCGAACTAACAATACTTCTGTCATACCCAAACCATCACCTTCACATGCAATACATAGCTCGGTCCTTGTTCACTAAAACCTCGGTTGAGTCCATTGAGACCGAGCTAACTACAGCAAGTTCTGACCGCACTAACCAGAGCAAGGTCCTCCTAAAGAAGCCATAATATCTCGGTTCCAAACACCGTGGCTGAGCTAACCATACCTCCGACCGGGGTAGCCGAGCTAACTATAAGGCCTTTTTTGACCGAGCTAACTTACAAGGCCTTTTTACTCAGCCCTTTTAACTTCGGCCTACAGAACGGCCCATTATCGCACCTTGGCCTAACTTGGCCCTAGTGCATATAAAAACTCCCTCTCAACTAAATTTTTTATGTTATAGGTTTATTCTATACATAAATCTAATATTATACAATTTAATTTTCACCGCATAATTTTCCATTCAAAATTTCCTGTGTAGATTAATCTGGGCCATAACTTTTCTCTAAAAGTCAAGCTATCCAATTCCCATATTGTGGGGGTTTGGAAAGGTAGTTATTTTAGTTTTTAACTATTTTAGCCTGTGTTTGGCAAGTGGGTTTGCAGGCTTTTTTGGCTATTTTAGCCACAAAAAACAAAATAGGCTATTTTAGCCATAACAAACAAAACATCACATCCAACCCATAATCATTACATTCTTCTCTCACAAAAAAATTCAAAAAAGCCAAAAAGTCAAAAAGCCCTTCCCAAATCAAGTTTTTAAGCCCAGGCTAAAATAGCCAAAAAAGTCAAAAAGCCAAAAAGCCAACCCACTTCCCAAATGGAGGCTTAGTAGGTTAAAATTTTTATGTTTGGGTAGATGATTAAATTTATCATGTTGTTAGATGTGATGTTTGTAAGAGAAAAAGTAAAATAATTATAGATTTAATACGATATTTTATCTTATTAATTATTTTAACTTATTTTATCTTTTTGTAAATTTTAATCTAAAAAAAAAAATTGACTTTTGCCAAACAAGACCATTATTTCCACCAAATCAAGCTCAAATTGGGATGTTTTAAGAAAATAGTTAAAAGTTAGGGTATGTTTAGTTTGGTTTTGGGAGAGTAGTTTTTAAAAATTGTTTTGGGGAGAGAGTTTAAAATTTTTTTTGGTTTGTTTGGTTGTGTATTTTAAAAGTAGTTTTGGAGTTTGGGAGTTTGGAATGATTTGATATTTTGTTGTAATTGAGTAGATGTGTGTGAGAGAAAAAGTGATTGAGAATGAGAGAGAAGAGAGAAAAAGTGATTGATTGATGTGTAAGAGAGAGAAAATGATTTTGAAAAAAATTACAAATCAAACAAATTTTTTAAAAATTTTTGTTCAAAATCACTCTACAAATTCAAACCAAACATTAATCTTTTAATTTCTTAATTTTTTTTATGAAAAAAGAGCAAGTTAAAAGTTGTGAAGTGCCATTTCATTCACTCCCAAAATATATTGGGGAGATATTCTTGAGCATGCTGGCTTTACTTTTGTCTGTTATATGAAACATAGGTGTCTAGATCCACAGTCATGGGGATATACACACACAACCAACCAATCATATGCAAATATTTGAAATATATTTTATTAAAACTGGAATTCCTAATGTATCCTTTTGGGGTTACTCAAGGTCGTCTCATGTTGATAGGTGGCCTTCTCAGATCGGCTACACAGGAGAGATATGATGATCATCGTCATCATCATGGGACGACCCATCCCGATTTTGTAGGAATAGTACTAATCAGTACTCTATTATTACAACAACTGGGTCGTGCTTGATCGATGGGCATTAGGACCTCCAGATTTCGTCGTCCTTTCTTTCCAAGATCCACTTCCAAATCTCTTCCTTCTTCAACACACCTCCGACACACCACCATGAAGTATATTTATTTTTTTCTTTTTTCTTTCTTGATTTTGTGTTTTGTTTGTTTGGTTATTGTTTCTTTCTAGTTTTCTGCGTAATGGGTTCTTCTTTTTATATATGGATTCTTTAATACTGTTTGATTGGGTATTTATGGACAAATTATTGGCTTTTTATTTCGAGTTCTATTATATCCTCTGTTTGTTTGCCAAGAAAATTTATAAAAAGAACAAAGAAATTCTATGATTGAAACCCCAGTTGGATCCAGGATTACAAGAAAATCTTCCCAAATCAGAAGTTCCAACAATATATACCTATATATATATATCTTATTTGCATATTTTCTTTCCATTGTTTTATATTTACCTCTGTTTTCCTAGCAATCAATTAGGCGCTTTTTTTTTTATTTATTATTATTATTATTTTTGGGGGGGATTGTGTTACTACTGAAGTGCTGGGGTTAACTGTATCCAAACCTGAAAGTAGACAATAACTCAGCTTCAAGTTTAAGTGCATGAATGTAATGGTCTTTCCATTTTAAATATACTGCTTCCCAATGTTATATTTTGATGCATTCCTCATGTTTTTGTTGCTTCTGAATGCATTGTATACATGGAATTGAAATTATGACAGGCTCTCCATTGTAGTTTCAATTTCATTGTATTTGATTGTGATATTGAATATACAGAGAGTGCCGGGCATTTTAGGGACACTGCGCCCTCCATTGTATTTCAATTTCACAATTTCATTGTATTTGAAGGTGATATTGAGCATACAATGAATGCAAGTTGTAACATTAAATTAAATTGCATTCATCTAATTTTTGAGATTGGTATATTGGATAAAACAATTGAACTTTGATTACATCGAATCAATTTAATTTCTAGTTTTTGAGTTTGTTCTCTTGTACATTAATTGGGATTTGCAAACCAAGTTGATTATTATGCATGTTTTATAAACCCACATATTGTGCTAAGTAAAATTTACTATACAACATCTTACCATTCTCCGTCTAAGGCCAAATATATTTCCAAATCTTAGACCATAGTACATATTCTCTCCAATTTCTGAACATGTTGACATTCCCCTCTATGTGGCACCTTTAACTAAATCCATATCAGTCTTTCTCATCGATGCAATTGAGTGATTCATTCTTTAGGTTATGTTTGGATGGGGGGAATGAAGAGTTTGAGTGTGAATCTTATTCCATAACTCCTTCATCCCGTCAGACATGAAAAGTTATTTTGGGTTTTCCATTCAAAGCAGAATGAGATTATCAAACTAAAGTGGGAATCTCATTAAAATCTCATTCTGCTTGGCTGTATTTGATTTGCATTCAATTGATTGAATCATATTAATATAGAGTGTATAAACATAACTTCTTTTGATTTTCGGGATAGCTGCATGCATGGGGTATCGATTCTTAGTATTATTGAAGGCAGGCTCATGCTTGGTTTCAGGGGCAACATGTATTTTTTTTTTCCTTGGAATATTTGTGTACAAAAAGTATAGGCGAGCCTGCAAATTCTAAAATCTTGTCACTTTCCTAAACAAGATTCATGACTATTCCAAACACTTGAATAACATTTAGGTCTAAATCTCATTACTGGTAATGTGATTGTTGGCAATGAGTTTCCATCCATCCTAATGGAGCCCCGCTGAACATGTCAGAACTTTCTCTCTTCTTGTCAGTAGTGTTCTACATTCTTCAGACATTTCAAGATCATTATTTTCTACCTTGTTACGCGTTCTTGTAAAAAATCCCCATCCAAATAGTGCTTAATTTTATGCTCGTGTTTTTCTTACCAACCTACCATGCTGTGCCAGTAACCATGGCTAGCTTATCATAATATAAAGTGGTCCTAATTTAATAGGTGTGTTCATTTTTTAACATCCGAAAGTGATCGAATGCATGATGCATACTTTTGAAGAGCCTGTCTGTGTATCATTTCAGCTAAAGTACTTGAAGTGCTTTAGCTAGTCGTTATATTGGTCATTAATCTTTTCAAATTTCCCTTTTTGTAATGCAAATAGTTTGATGGGTGTGTTCATTTTTTAACATCTTAAAGTGATCAAATGTACGATGCATACTTTTGCAGAGCCTGTGTATTATTTCAGCTAAAGTACTTGAAGTGCTTTAGCTAGTCTTTATATTGGTCATTAATCTTTAACAGATTTCCCTTTTTGTAATGCAAATAGCTTGTTTGTAATGTGATCCGCAACACAATTTTTGGTGTTTGTACATACTATAACTGTATTTTTATGCGCTTTACAAGAATAATAATCTTAAGCTACTAAGATATGTATGTCATGTATTTTTTTCAATCGAATTAGTCACATGTTCAGAAGAAAATTAACTTTCCACCCTTGCCCTGCCTTTTGATCCAAGCAATATTTTTTCACCTATTGCAGAACAAGAAATTTGTTCGGGATTTCTCTCTCTCTGATTATCATCAACATGGCCGCTATAATGGAGCGTGCCGATGAAAATCTCCTCCCAGCTGTTTACAAAGAAGTCAGTGAAGCTTTCAGTGCTGGGCCATCTGATCTCGGGTATCTCACATTCATGAGGAACTTTGTGCAGGGACTAGCATCACCCTTGGCAGGTATATTAGTAATCAACTATGACCGCCCTACAGTTCTTGCGATGGGCACCTTGTGTTGGGCCTTATCAACGGCTGCAGTGGGTGCAAGCCAGTTTTTTAGGCAAGTTGCATTCTGGAGAGCAGTGAATGGCTTTGGGCTGGCAATTGTGATACCAGCGCTTCAATCGTTCATAGCTGATAGCTATATGGATGGTGTGAGGGGGGCTGGATTTGGGTTTTTGAGCCTTGTTGGTACTGTGGGCGGCATTGGTGGTGGTGTTCTCGCAACGGTTATGGCAGGTCATGTGTACTTTGGCTTGCCTGGATGGCGATTTGCCTTCCTTATGATGGCAACTTTGAGTGCCCTTATTGGGTTCCTTGTTTTTCTGTTTGTGGTTGACCCAAGGCAAAGAATTAGCTTTGATCGTGATTCTGGCCAATATCCTGATAGTAGGTATGGATTGTTGAATGTTCTTAAGATTTTTCCTCGTTTAAAAATGTCTGTCCCTTATCGTATATATATAGTCATGCACCATTTCCTGTTGCAGGGAAGATTTGGTACATAAGGGTAGTGTCAATACATCGTCACTTTGGATGGAGTCATGGACGGCCACAAAAGCTGTTGTGAAAGTGCCTACATTTCAGATCATTGTTTTGCAGGGCCTTGTTGGTTCACTTCCATGGACAGCCATGGTGTTCTTCACATTGTGGTTTGAACTAATTGGTGAGCATGTTTGTTAATTTTGATATACACTGTTCCTTAGCGAGTCTGGAGTGAAAAATAAATGGAGCTATATATAGTTCCATCATTGCATTTCTCCTAGTCACTTGCATATAGGACTGCAAACAATTCAAGTTGGGCTGAGTATGTAGTTCAAGATTGACTGAAAACTTAAGCGGTGTTTGGCAACTTAGGTTTTGGGTTTTTTTTTTGATTTTTTTCACTACAAGACAAATGTTTTACAAAATCAGAAAAAATCAATTCAAACAAAATATCACATCAAACTCCATAATCATTTCACTTTTTCTCTCACAAACATCACATCCAACTACAAAAAAATCCAACTATCTTCTCAAGCATAAAATTTTTTTTCTTCAATAATATCCTACAACTAAAAAAACTTACAAAAAAACTCACTTCCCAAATACTCACTTAATCAACTCCAAAACATGTTAAAGCTTGACTTGTTTATAAAATGAGTTAATCTCGAGAACGAGTTTTTAACGAACTGAACACGAGTTGAGCTCGATCAAGTAGTTTGATTTTTTGGTGTGCATATATATACTTATCGAGTTGAGTAGTAGGTTGTTTGGTTATTCAAGCTTGACTTCAAAACTTAATGAGCTTTTAAATATGTTTAAACTTGGCTTGCTGTCAATCTCAAACAAGTTTTTAACAAGCCGAACACAAGTCGAGCTCGAATAACTTGATTTTTTACAATGCATATATGTTTATTGAGCTGAGTAATACGTTGTTCAAGTTTGTCTCTTAATGATTTTTAAAATATGTTTAAGCTTGGCTTTCTTACCTAACCTAATGAGTTAATCTCAAACAAATTTTTAATGAGTTAAACATAAATCGAGCTTGGAGTACCTCTGTTTGTTTTGCAGGTTTTGATAATAACAGGGCGGCTGCACTACTCAGTCTTTTTGCAGCGGGATGTGCCATTGGATCGCTCATCGGTGGAATAATAGGAGATGGAATGTCTCGCACCTACCCTCACTATGGTCGTATCATGTGCGCGCAATTCAGTGCTTTCATGGGCATCCCTTTCTCATGGTTTCTTCTTACTGTGATCCCACAGTCAGTGAACAGTTATTTGACCTTTGCAATCACTCTTTTTCTCATGGGTCTGACTATCAGTTGGAATGGCACTGCTGCAAATGGCCCCATGTTTGCCGAGGTGGTCCCTGCAAAACACCGGACTATGATTTATGCATTTGATCGCGCTTTTGAAGGTTCCTTCTCTTCTTTCGCTGCTCCCATTGTTGGGCTTCTCGCTGAGAAGATATATGGGTATGATCCAAAGTCGGTTGATCCAGTTTCAGGTTCTACCCGGGAGGCCTACGCATTGTCGAGGGGGCTTTTTTCAATGATGGCAGTTCCATTCGGTTTGTGTTGCGTGTTTTACACACCTTTGTATTGGATTTTCAGGAGGGACCGGGACAATGCTAGAATGGCCAGTTTAAAAGAGGAAGAGATGATATGACGAGCGGTGTTTGATTTTGCGTGTATTAATCTCGTGACTAGTTTTTCTTCTTCTTTTTTTTTTGTGTTTTTTTAATTATGTCTAGGACATCATTTTAGGTATTGGGACAGTCACACTGTATTGGCTTGCTTTTTTCAGGCCATTGTATTGAACTAATTTAATTGTTCATTCTTTCTTAGTGATGGGCAAATTGGTTTCTGCCATAGAATTTTGATGCTTCTTATCTTGGAATCTCTTTCTCCCCGTGATTCTGGCCAATATCCTGATAGTAGGTATGGATTGTTGAATGTTCTTAAGATGTAGATTATTGAGTTCGATCGAACTTGTGATTCCATGTGGATGGCCCATAAACTCCACATGCATGCTACAAAAGCAAAAACAGTTAATAATGTTGTATCAAATCAAATACGATGAATTCAACTTCATTAGTCCAAACAAGCTATCAAGATCTTCAAGACGACAAATTGTAAATTGTATATAAGATTTACAGGCAAAGCCACCTTTAAGCATTTGCTAAAAGATGTCACCTAGAAAAGCTACATACATCGTGCAAAGTGTGTTTGCCCCACATATCCACCAGTCATAGCTTTTCTCACATTGGATTGGAATGTTTTCGGATTATCCCTCAACACAGCGGCCGCATCGTGATTCAGGGGATCCTCATGGTTTGGTTCCTGCTCCAAAAAAAAAAAAAAAAGGTTACAAATAACATATGGTCACAAATAAACAGAGATCCATTTCAGAATAAAGTAATACCGTGAAAAGATGATACAATCCATAAACAATAGTGTTAATGTTAAGAACGGGTTTCCAATCTTCTCGTAAAATGTTGAGGCAAACATTCCCTTCTAAGTCGATATTGGGATGGTAAACCTGTGCATTGAAAGCAAGATTAGTGAAAGATTGTCTACTAACAAATATCATTGGCAAGCATAATCAGGGTTCAACAGAAATAACCGAAGGAGCTCTACCATGGTCTTGCATTTGACCTTTGGTGCCTCATGTGGATAGATGGGAGAAACTTCAAATGAGAAAAAAAATGTGCCACCTCTGTATAAAGAAAATAAATGATACATTAGCTTCTTTTTTTTTTACTGTCAATGAGAAGTATTGTTGATAAAATACACATCGCCTTCCTAAAAAAAAAGGAGCAAAACTGAATTGCATGGGAAAGATGACTTACAAATAATATCCTTCATCAGGTCGAATGGAAACCTCAAAATTCATCAACTCATCCTTGCCATTGGGGAACGATATGGTACATGATTCGGGAAGGTTGAGCTCACTGATGTCTACAAGATGTTAAGTGTAAAATGTAACACAACCACCTCATAATTGAGAAACAAACATCAAATTTCTGGGGCCAAGAAAATAAATGCTTTTGTTTGAGAACAAAATTTGGAATGACCTAATTGGCACAGGATAATGGCTTCCTCTTCAGAAAATATATAAATAAACAAAACATAGCATAATAAATTATCCACTATTCCAAATGGCTCCGATACATATTTTCTAGAACTATTTGTTTATAGCATCAGTCTTTCTGGCTCCCAAGTCATGAACTCAAGTCAGAAAAACATCTCTTGAAATTAAAAAAACCTACTTTGATTGGTGAATGGCACCCCTTACGAGAAAAGAACAAAGAACAAAAAAATAAAACAAAAAGAGTCCTAACCAAAACAAGATTTGACCATCTTGTTCTCCTGACAATTAAATTATTACAGAAATGGAAGGTAATTAACTCAACAAGCACTAATACTACTATGGAGGATCAGTGTGAAATAGTTTTGAATTTTTTTGAAACTTACCTGACACAGATGCCACATATATGGACATTTCAATATTACAAAGAATAAATTCACAATTTCTGATAATTTGAGGAGATGTCCAAGAGGTGTCTTAGAGTAACCATTTTTGATATTTAGGGCAAAGTTATCCATCAGGAAGTGAAAATTGAAGAGGATCTCACAACAAAATTAGAGCAGATGATATAGACAAGTACTTTAGAAGAAGCAACTACAATTCATACCAAGTAGAATGGAAAGTTCTCTACGAGATAGCTACAAGGCCAATTACATTTTTTAGTCAGAATACAGGGGAATTAAAACCAAATAGTCCAGGCCAATTTGAATTTCAAATGAATTTATATGGGTTAATCCACCATTTATATATCATTTCAGTGTAGAGTTCATCACCTTGAATTGCCCATTTAGAACAATAGGGAACTTCAACATGTTTCTTCCTAATTCTAATGTGGAAAATTTAGATTTCCTCAAAATGATAAAGCCCAGATCAACATCATTTGCCATAATGCTCACTTTCCCAAGTGAATTGTTGGCTACAATTCTCCAAAGCCGCCGTAGCAACGCGGTGGATTGTTGGCTACTACGGTTAGTTTCTTCTGGTGGGTGTCCAGCTTTGGCCCTCCGGCCATGGCCGGTGTCAGCGTCGGATGTAACTCAAGCTTGCCGGTTCTTGCCTGGTTTGGTTTCGAGTTCGCCGGCGTCGTCGACACTACTGAAAGAGTACATTCTGCAGCTGTGATACGGTCCCCGTCGTTGCTCGGTAACTCCTTATGGCGTTGATGGTTTTGTGGGTGTGCCACCGGGCCTTTGGCGTTGAAAGGTGGCTCTCTCTATGCTTCGCTCGTTCTGCCGGTGTTGTTATGCCGGTAGCTTTGTTGAGGTTTGGCTGCTTTCAGCGCCGGAGGGATGACCTGCCGGATTGCTGTCCTCTAATTTTTGATGAGGTTGTAAGCTGGGTGTTTGTATGGTGGACTACGGATGCTACGGGTTTGGGAAGCTGATTCAACGGCATTGGTTTCTTCCCGGAGTTTAGCCGGTTTTCATGGGAACGCCGATCTTGTTTGGCTGGTTTTCAGTGGATTTTCTTCGAGGACGGAGTGGTGGCGACGCGCCTTTGGTGCGTTTGGTCTTTACGGTCGTATGGACTGTGTAAAGCTGAGGCTCTGTTTGCTTGGGAGACCCGCTGCCAGCTAGCTAGGGTGTTTGGAGGATTTTCAAATATCTTCCCTCTTTGCTGAGCTCATTTTTGGTTGCCATTAAAATAATATTAATATTTATATTGGCTAGCTTATTTAGTATCTGTTTGCTTATCTCTTGTATGCTACAAATTCCTATTTCTTGGGTGATCTCATCTTTTTATTTTGATTTACTTTTACATAGTAGATGGAGTGTCTTCTGGTGTTCTCTATTTTTTTGTGTGCGAGCTTCATTGTGAGAACTAAGGTCTCAATTCACAATTTCTGATAATTTGAGGAGATGTCCAAGAGGTGTCTTAGAGTAACCATTTTTGATATTTAGGGCAAAGTTATCCATCAGGAAGTGAAAATTGAAGAGGATCTCACAACAAAATTAGAGCAGATGATATAGACAAGTACTTTAGAAGAAGCAACTACAATTCATACCAAGTAGAATGGAAAGTTCTCTACGAGATAGCTACAAGGCCAATTACATTTTTTAGTCAGAATACAGGGGAATTAAAACCAAATAGTCCAGGCCAATTTGAATTTCAAATGAATTTATATGGGTTAATCCACCATTTATATATCATTTCAGTGTAGAGTTCATCACCTTGAATTGCCCATTTAGAACAATAGGGAACTTCAACATGTTTCTTCCTAATTCTAATGTGGAAAATTTAGATTTCCTCAAAAGTGATAAAGCCCAGATCAACATCATTTGCCATAATGCTCACTTTCCCAAGTGAACCCAATTAAACAGATATGATTCTAAGAGGAGTCATTTCATTGTCAATTTTAATGAAAACTTCTAAAAGACAATTATAAGCCTAACTATGATATATATATATATATATATATTTGCGGGTGGCGGTAGAGTAAAGTTATAAGAAAATATTTTACAAAAAATGCATTACTAAGATTATTTTTGGGGACAAGCATCAGTTATAAATTAAAAGTGGCACTAGTTAATATTAAAAATAAGACAAAGGGAAGTCCTCTAACATGGTTTGGCCATGTGCGATTTAAACCAACTAATGCACTGTTTAGGAGAAGCATTTTGTTAAAATTTTCCAATTTAAAGTGCTAAAAGAAACAACCAAAAGAAAAGGCTAAAATAAATGCGGACTGAAACTGTGAGAGAGGACATGATCACTTGGATTTTAGTGAAGGCATGACTTCAAAAGGACCTGCCTTTGAGAACCAAAATTCAGGTAGCAACCCTAGACAATTGGTACAAAGGCTTGTCGAGTTGGATATTTAGTGGTAACTTGGCACACAACAATTAACGTGATGCTTCATTCACATAGTTTGGGCTCCTACAATTTGGCTTGCTTGAGTGTTACAACTACTAATTAGCTTTAGGGTGCATCCCCTTTATTTTTACTAATTTCCCCCCAAAAAGGAATAATTGTAGAGATAAAATAAAGCTAAATGAGGAAAGTAGATCCATATAGACAAGCCACGTTAAGACTTGCTAACTGCAGTGTTACATAGACTCTCCTAAACCCTCTAACATTGTCCCAAGATCAAACCCTCTAGCATAAGTTAGACATTTTCCTATGACATCCAGCATCCATCAACACCTCTCAGGATATGATTTATGAAAACTTAGCTGTTGAACAAAATTCTAGGATACATTTTGTAGTTTGTACAATATTTAAGTCATAATCATGTGAAACCCTAAATTGGACCCATTCATATTACTTGACTTCCAATTGAAACAAAGTGCAATGCAACCACAATGAAGAATTCATTTTTGTCGGTAAGAAAACATATAGATTATAAAGGCTCTTGATTTCCAATTGTTTTAGTCACAAGTTCTAACTAGTAAAGCGAGGAAATCACCAGTCATGACACAACCACTAGCCAGGCTATGTTTTATGTCATGAGATGTTAGACAATCAAGAAAGATATTCATGAAGTGTACACTGCAGAAATTGACATGCCCAAATGGATGTGTGGCAACACAAAAAGAATGTAATAAGAAACCAATGGCTAGTGAGAAGTTTGATAATCAAGATTGCATTGCACAAATTGATGGCCAAAGTGAGTGTTGTGCTTTGTTTGGCTTTACAAGCAATCAAGAGAAATTTACTTCAAGTTATTAGTGAAACAAGGAGCCCAAAGAGGTTGAAAAGAATGTCAAATCAAAATGAAAAATAGACTTGACATACAACATAACGGACACCATGGCCCTACATAGAGATTTTAAAGAGTGACCCAATTATTTTATTAGGATTTATGACTTTGTTAAATTGAGTTGCTTTTAAGTTTTTTGCATTGGAACATACTATCACTTTTGATTATTTCACCAAGACAATAAAAAGTAGTATGAATAGGGAGGACCACTTTTACAGTTGGAACTAATAAACAACACTAAGATTCTAAGAGTGACATGCAACACAATGTATCATTAAAAATTTCCATTTTTCACTTTCAATAACTTGAACTCCTAGAGAGACTAAAAGAATTTTGAAATGCTAGTTGAAACCCAACCCATAATCCATATGGCTCTCAACCTTTTGATCACTTATCGTCCACAACTTAAACTCCTTTCAACTAAATAAATAGCCAAACAAACCTTTGCAATAAAGGCCTTCCAACTGACTAACCAAAGAAATTAACCATATGTTCCTCTATCTTATTATACCTCCACACACAAAAGCTCAAATTGAGCAATTATTCATAAAAAGTAATTCACAGAGAATTACAAAATTACAATATAAAATAAAGAAGAAATACATAAAAAATAACTGTGTCACCATGAAAAGTAAGAGATAAACCTTTATGAAGACGCAATTCTCCAGCGGTATGCTTCTTGACAGCCCCCCTTCCATTGGTATTTTCAGTAATTTCTCTCTGCTTCTCTTTCACTTTAAAGAGCCTAATCATGGTTGCTGCAAATAAAATATTAATAAATATAAAACATGCATATGTGGCACAAATTTTTTATCTCCTCATGGGAGGTCTTGGGTTCCACTCGTGAGTGGAGTGGGAGGCAAGACTTAAATGCTTGCAAGAAGAGGGTGTCAGTTCAACTCTCCATAGGTGTTAATCTAACAACTAACTATTGACTTTCGTTGATCAAATTTTTTTTTTTACACCCCGATGGCGTTGAAGATATATATATTTTTTGATTAGCACAGGAGTACTTAGATCAAAGCCCGACTAATCCCCAGGGGTGCACAGACCCTCGGCAAGGAGTTTCCCGCAAGTGTACCATGGTTAATTCAAGGGTCTTCCTAGTCTGATGGTTCCAAGTAATTGTTAGCGCCAAAGAGGTTTCAATACTTGAACATTAGAGGGAGCACATCCCCAAGACCCAAGGCCTTACCCCCCAGGCCACACGATGGTGTTGAAGATTTTAATTACATGCATATAAATCTGTGTCATTGCAGAGCAACAATAACACAGGTATGGAGACAAGTTTCACACCATCAGAGATTAAATAAATAAATAATAAAAAGATAAAGACACTTTGGCTTTAGGTTTAACCAATTCCTACTAGAAATACTAAAGCACAAGATGCAGCATTTTTATGCTTTGATGTAATCATGTATAGGGCCTTAAGTAATTGATAAGGCCGAAGAAAATTAAGTATTTAGAAAACAACTCAACTTGACCTTGGGAGCACCATACAGTTAGACCACAACTAAAATGAGACAAAACTAGCAACAAATATACTTTGTGACCCAGCTCAACTCATAGAACCTATGAAGCATGGACATGGACACAGACACGGCAATTTCTAAAAAATGAAGACACGGACACGGCAGGGGACACAGAAAATTTTTTATAAATATTTTTATTTTAACACACATTAATTATTTTATTTATTTATTATATTTTTTAAATAATGTGTTCCAATTATTTTTTTTATTTTATTTTACACATGTGTTTATTATTATTTTTTATTAATATGTATAGTATATATTATCTTAAAATATGTATTATATGTTATATAATAACTATTTATATAATAGTTATTATATAATAGTGTTATATATATATGTATATGAATTAAAAGAAGTGAGAGATATAAGTGAGAGAGAGGAGACAAAAGAAGATAAAAACGGGAGACAGAAGCAAGAGAGAGCGATCGATCGAGAGGGTGAGAGTGAAGGCGCGAGAGAGAGAGCTCCAAGAAGGCGAAGGCGAAGGCGAAGGCGAAGGCGAGAGAGAGAGCTCTGAGAAGTTGAAGGGCTTTGGATCGTCGAAGTCCGAGGGGGCTATAGATCGAAGTCATGAGAGAGTAAGATCAAAGTCATGGAGGTCGATTGGCTCTGGATCGATTGGCCCGACTAGGTTTGTACTCCTTTTCTCTTTCGTTTACTCTTCTCTTCTCGCCGACCGTGTCCCATGGTGATGTCCAGATTTGGACATGCGTGTCTCCACCGTGTCCCTTGCAAAAAAATAAATTAAATTAAGGAGACATGCCAGATGCCGTGTCCCGTACATGTCTCCGTGTCCCTGTATCCGACACCGCCACGGCTTCCATTTTAGCGTGTCCATGCTTCATAGCACAGAACAATGCTCAGCAAAAACATTTCAAACCAAAAATAAAATAATTTGCAACCCAACACAATGCTCTTCCATGATTTCATATTTGAGACAAAAAACTATTCATTTTTACATTCAAAAGCATCACTCTTCCTCCTTGTGGTTTTCTCAGGACATTGCTTGAGAAAGAAAATTCCAATTATTTGTGGAGTTGGGTGGCTTAATACATTGATAAAGATTTGCTGCTAGGGTAATGAATTATGCTGTGCGGTTTCTGATCCCACAAGATGATAAGGTTGAAACGTGGTAACACTCTATAGTAGCCTTCAAATTACCATGTTGTCTTAAGTCAATCAATTCGAAGAACCCACCCGCCATTTATCCCCAAGTGTTTCAATTAAGGATGGCGACGGGGCAGGTATGGCTCAGGGGACCCTTACCCCACCTCCATCCCAACCCTGGCTTAGTGAACATTATCCCTACCCAACCCTACCCATTAGACCTCTCCCCACCCCCGCATAGTATAATTCCACCCGATCCTACCCACCCAGTTTAACTTTACAACTTATATTTTTAATATTCAATTTTAATAATGCAATTTTCTAACTTTGAAAATTTGAATGACAAATTACTTGTAACAATTTGTGTTGTTTGATATTGATCTTAGTGGAATTGTAAAATAAAATTGCAGAATAAAGGGAGAGAGAAGAAGTGTGGTATCAAGATAACATAAAATAGAAAATTTAAAAAAAAAAAAAAAAAAAATCCTAAGTTTTTTTTTATATCATGATAAAAAAAAATGTTAAAAATGAGATTTTTTTAATAATAAACATAATCAGGTTGGGGTGGGTTGGAGTTATCCTCTCTCGTACCCGCCCCAAATCCTATGGAGTCTTTTATTCTCGCCCCAGACCCAACCCTTATCAATTGAGAAACCCCCAAACCCAATTTATTAGATTCAGAGAGAGGTTTTGGGAATTTTGCCATCCAGTATTCAGAAATTTTTATATGGATTACAATTTAGTTAAATAATTAAATCCAGAATCAATATCAGCTTTGTTTTAGGGTTGTAAAGTTTCCTCCAAATACATCAAAGGCTATTATTGAGGTACTTTCTTCATTCAATATATGATAAATCTAAATATTAGAACTCAAAACTATAATAAAAAAAAAAGAAAAAAAGAAGCAAAACACAGTAAGCCACAAATGCTATTTCAAGAGCAAGAAATCACAATTCACAAAAAGGCTAATTCTTCTTCTATTAAAACCCCCTAATTATCATCACTCAAATGAACAGAGAATCTGAGAAATCAATACAATAATCAGCAGCATCATGTAGACATATATTACAACCGATATGTAACGCATACATATATATATATATAGAGAGAGAGAGAGAGAGAGAGAGAGAGAGAGAGACCTGGGGAAGGGAGACTAGTCGTGAAGGAAGGAGGAAATAGAAGTGTTACTCCGTAATCAGAACTTTTTGACTTTGCCAGTTCCAATGAAAGTGGTCCCCTATTCCATCAAATAATTCATGGGTAAATTACACTGCCGCCCTGAAATTTTTGACAATTACAAGACCTTCTTTATAGTTTTAATAATTATACTAATTTTTCTCACTCTGAAATTATTATCAAGATCTCCTATTAATTATTTAACATAATTTATTGATGTCACGTTAATGTCATACCAATAACTAGGGGTGTGCAACGGTTTATCCGAACCGCTCAAACCGCCCAATCCGCCCAACCCTCCTATTAACTATTTAATATAATTTATTGATGTCACCTTAATGATAAAATTACCTCTTCGTTGCCTTATCTATTTAAATAAGTAATTTCACTTATCTCCTTTGAAATTTACCTATATATTATCAAGGGCACATATATATTTCAACATTATTTAATAAAATTCTTAAAATATTATTAAATCATCTAATGATTTTTTTTTTAAATTTTTACTGATAAAATATTTAAAAATAAATAATCTCTCTAAAATTAATGTTAGATAATATCATAATAATTTAATATAAGATTTATTTCACACTACATAGAGAATGTAAAACTTATCATATTAATAAGTAATGCATTTATTATTTGAATTTATTTTAAAAGTTGAAATAAATAGATTTATTTTTTTCAGACAATTTGCATTACTTATTTATTCATATCTACAAACATTATTATTTTATCTTTTCTCAAGCATATATTATTCTCAAATTTTAATTTTTATCATTGAGTCATTAAACTTCCAGTTGATTCATAATTAAAAAAATGCAGGTTAATATTTTTAAATTATTAAAAAAATTAAAAAATAAATATAGAAGTAAAAAAAATATAATCATGTTACAATAAATTAAAATTAGTTGATAAGAAATGAAGGATCACGAAATCTTAAAATTAATTTCTCACCTTCATTAATGGTTAAATTTTATATTATTTTTTCTATAAAAGTTCAAAAACTTGTGAAAAAAAATAAAGTCAAGAAATTACATTTATATTTTGAAAAAAAGTATGAAAAATAAATAATAAATTCATATATATTCAATAGGATAAATTAAATTTAGAGGTTAAGATTAGTGTTGATAACCTCAAAGGAGGTAAGATTTTTTTTTTGGGGGATTTTTTTTAAGGTCCCTGGTATTAAGATTTTATAGCATAAAAGACACTCAATATTTTCATAATGTCTAAGGTCCCTTAACATTAATCCAGAGAAAATTCGATCCAGAGAATTTCTTTGGACGAATTTTCTCTGGACTTCATAGAGAATTTCTCTAGTCGAATTTTCTCTGGACTTCACAGAAAAATTCTGGTTCACAGCGAATTTCTCTGGTCACAGAGAATTTCTCTGGTCGAATTTTCTCTGGACTTCACAAAGAAATTCTGGTTCACAAGGCATCATTATTATTGAGAATTTCTCTAGACTATAAATCTGAATTGTTGAGAATTTCTCCAGACTATAAATCTGTAATTTATTGTAGGGTGCATTCACAAGGCTTCATTGTTATTCAGAAGCAAAAGAGAAACAATAATTATAAGAAAACCAGAGAATTTGAGAAAGATGAAGAATGAAGTTGGAAGAGAAGAGAAAACTGCAATTTTCTCTGGTTGCCTCTTTAGGTGCTGAAAAAACTTCAGGGGCCTTATTCACCACAGGTTCAGGTTGTACTGAGACCTCTGGTTCTTGATCATGCTCTCTATCTGTCTCCTCATCACCTTCATCAAGAATGTCTTTTTCACTTTCACTTTCTTATAATTCAACATCATATTTGAGTGATAGTTTTCCAAGACTCGTCAATTTTTTGACCAACTATTAATATAATGTCACAAGTGAAAAACATATAAATCCTGAACTGCTCAAAACCAAGAAAACTTCACTCAACTCAATGAGTCTTTGTCCCAAATACTCAAGGTCCCTCAACATCGATTCGGAGAATTTCTTTGGAATTCAAAGAGAATTTCTCTGGTCGAATTTTCTCTAGACTTCACAGAGAAATTTTGGTTCACAGAATTTCTCTGGACAAATTTTCTGCATCAGATACAAATTCTATTACACGGCAAATCTCCATCTCTTCCAAACCAGGAAAGTATTAAAAGATAACAAAACAAAAGAGAACGAACCTATTAATCAAGAAGTAAAGTTACAATTGATATAGAGAAAATTCAGTTCTCTCGTCTCTTTCAACTTCATTCATTATCTTTCAAACTAGAGAAAATTGAAATTTCTCTGAGTACCAAAGAAATCCAGAGAAAATTGTGTAGAGAAAATTTGTGTGGCTTTGTGTGGCTCTATGTTAGAAAAAAAAATTTGTGTGGCTTTGTGTGGCTCTATCCAGAGAAAATTGTGTAGAACAAATTTTTGTGGCTTTAAATGACTCTATTAAGAGAAAATTGTGTTATAAAAAATTTGTGTGGCTTTGTGTGGCTCTATCCAGAGAAAATTTGTATGTCTCTTTTCCAATTTTCTCTGGTTTTTTGTTGTTTAATTTTTTCTGGACTGTAAGACATTCACTCAACAACCAACCAGAGAAAATTGAACAACCACCATTTTGACCAATTTTCTCTGCACTGTAAGACATTCATACAATAACAAACTGGAGAAAATTGAACAACAAAAAATCAGAGAAAATTGAACAGCAAACTAGAGAAAATTTAATAACCACTATTTTGACCAATTTTCTCTGGCCTGTAAGACATTCATACAACATGAAACCAGAGAAAATTGAACAACAACAAACCAGAGAAAATTGAACAAACACCATTTTGACCAATTTTCTTTGGACTGTAAGACATTTATACAACAGCAAACCAGAGAAAATTGAACAATAACAAATCAGAGAAAATTAAACAACCACCATTTTGACCAATTTTCTTTGGATTATAAGACATTCATACAGCAGCAAATCAGAAAAAATTAAACAACAACAAACTAGAGAAAATTGAACAACTACCATTTATCCAAAAACAGAATAAATATATAACCAACAACAGGCAAGAAAATTGTCAATTGATACAAAATCTCAAGGACTAACTTGCTGATTCATGAATGGCTCTCTCAATTTTGATAGAAACCAAACAGGACATCAACCAACAGAAAGGTGGAATTTTTTTTTCCAAGAAATCAAATCAAACTCGCAATACAAATCAAAGCTAGATAATTTTTTTAAGGTATGGCACATCACTAGTCTTCCAAGAAATCAAATCAAACTCACAATACAAAAATTAAGAAATAGATAAACAAATCACATTAAGAATAAAATCTTTCTATTGATTCAAAATTTTGTTTTAAGGTATGGCACATCACTAGTCTTCCCACATATTGAGTTCAACGATACATGCACAAGTTGACATACGTACAAACATATATGTAACCATATATGTACATATATTCAATTACAGTAATCATCTTACCCCTCGTTATCACAAAAGTTGGAGAGGCGTTGGTAGCCATGAAAATTGCATGTTTTCTGCAAAAAGGTGGCTACTGGAACCATTATTAAAACAACTGTTGTAAAGCTACTGGGACTACAGATTAATAACCACCCATGTGAGGTTTGATGTAACAGATCATTGTTTCATAATAAAGCACCATGATCTCTTGGTAGTAACAGTGTAGTAGTACTAGTTTTGAGCTAGAGTTTCAGATTATTGTTCTTTAACCCCCAAGCTCATAACATCACAACATATCAAGAGATGTCTGCATTTATACAATACTTACCAAAATGGCTGTCAAGAGATGTCTAGAGAGAGAGAGATCTTCACATCAAAGAATAATTTATTTTTCTATAAACTTATGTACAACAACAAATAATGACACTTCAAGAACTACAAGAATCCCAATCAAAAGCATAAAAACAAATTGCTTTCCAACAATGAATTTATGTTTTCATGCAATGTTTTCATATCCTCAATCCCTACAACAGGGCACTTAATCTAATTCCAGAGAAAAACAAGTTTACCTGTAATCTTTTTGTAATCAAAGGCAACATTTGTCATCTGGGTCTTATTCGGAAAACTCGATTGTACCATATCGAGCAGAAATATATCATACTTCATAGGCCTAGCATGCCAGAGAAATGTTGTTGTATTTTCTTTACTCTCTGTTGCATCTCGAGATACCTCTTTTATGGGGTTGAAAGGAGTTCGACACCAACGGCGACGGCAAGATCTCGATGACGGAGCTCGTATCAGTCATGAAAGCTCTCCAATCCAATACATCGGAGGACGAAGTGAAGCGGATGATGGAGGAGCTCAACACCGACCTCAACGGCTTCATCAATCTCAAAGAGTTCTGGAAGAGTGATCTTGTCTTTTAAGATCAACGAGAGAGAGAGAGAGAAGAGCAGCGTGATATATCAAATTTCTCTATGATAGATGGGTGTGGAGTTTAGGGACTTTAAACATCAAAAAATAATATTGTGGATCTCTTCCCTTACTAAAAATGGGACAAGGACCTTACACTAATTTTCCCTATTTTTTTTACTTCTATATTTATTTTTAAATTTTTTTAATCATTTAAGAAATATTAACTTATGTTTATTTGTATGCATCAACTAAAATTTTAATGGCACAAAAATAAAAATAAAAATTTGAGAATAATATTGACAAAAGATAAAATAATAAATTTTTACATATGAATAAATAAGTAATACAAATTGTCAAGAAAAAAATAAATCATTTATTTCAAATTTAAGAAAAATTAAATAATATATGCATTATTTAAAGGGGAATTGACCCAAAAATCCCATTTTTTTAACTTATAATCTGTATGGTTCTAAATGTTTTCTTAGTAACTTAATGGTCTCTTAATTTGGTTGTTAACGTATTTGCCACTAGTAGCGTGAATGGTTTCCAAATATGTAAGGAAGGTGAATGGGAGCGTGTGTTTTACGTTGACTTAGAAAAGCGCACTAGTACTGTTTTGAAGTTTTGTGGGTTTGTGACACGCGCATAGTGGGTTATTGTTTACGTTTTAAAAGTTGGGTCACACGTAACGTCCACACGAGCATTTAGTCGGACGTGAAACGTTTATGGATTTTCGGCCCGTTCACGACAATCCG